AAAACCGTTAGGCGAGCTGTTAACATTTTAGTCACCAGAAAGAAGAAATTTAACTGCCAGTAAAGTGGGTTTTATAGTGATGCTATACTGAATTTTACTATCGAATCGTCTCCAATATTTCAAAACATGTCAGTGTCCATTGGTTGTTAAAATGAACCGTATATTTATCAGCCATTCATTCACGTCCTTATACCCCATTTATTAAGGCAAAGCGACAAGAGCTAGGCCTCGACGCAACAAGTTTTATGTAGAAACTAATATCTATTGTGGTGCTCCGAACAATACAAAGACTTATATCGTCTTATGTATTCTCTGCGCGTATAGAATACTTAAGTAGCTAAGCTCTTCAGAATCTTAATGAACTTGAGGCTTTCCTCTTTTACGAAAGTAATCAAGCGTCTACTTCAAAGTACAGATAAGGATAATTGTGTTCAAGATATTCAACTATATCCACCTTTATATTTCCTTGAATAAAATAACAGATGTTTGGCTTTCTCCCAGCGTGTGCCGCTCTAAGATGCTCCATTAAGACACGCATCAACTGGTACTTCTTGAGCAGCAAAAAGCCAAGTAACGGTCCCCACCGATATGGCAGGATTTAATAACTCCTCCGGCCCTAAATGGAATGAAGCAGATTTCGAGGCACGGGCCTCTTACTGTATCGATGTCGATTCTTTTATGATACGATCGTGACTTCTGCTGTTTTGATGTAAAGCACATCTGTTTTATTAGGCAGCGTCTAATGTTGAAATCGTGGGAGAGGAAATTCTAAATTAACCTATTTTTATTTCTAAACTTAGCAATCACGAAGATGCAATGTTTATAATGAATTTAGATGTTAGTACAAGGTATGTAGATGCTAGTTACAGGAATAGCACAAGATGACCAAAACAGATACATACTGCGACTTGTTGAGCGCTAAACGTGTTTGCGATTTGGTAGTAGAATATAAATATAATTTCATACAAAATCAATGAGATTATACAAATGTATTTATTTATTGCTATTCAAATGCAATGGATATCGATATTAATATTCGTGCTTGGAATCGCGCGTATTTTATCGATGTGTTAACATCACTATGCGGTGCCAGCGGGAACCTGTGGGACCAGAATGAGGTTGGAGCTCTCCATCTAGTGGGCTATGATCGAGCAGCTTCGAGCGCACTCGTATGTGCTCAGCATATCATTTGCAACCCCAACAATGCGGAACACGACATGTTCCGCGTTTGGTTCGCATTTTTTTCTATAAAGGACTAGGAAAAGAATTAATTAGGTAGCTATCTATCCTGCATTTCTATAAAACGTTTTAATCGTAGCAGTAATTTTATTACTATAAATGAAACGTAATACGTGATTTGTTTATGGTTCATTGAATGAATATAATTTGTGGGAAAATATTGTGGTTTGTTTTATTTTTTCTTGGAGTTCTGACACGGAGTCGTCTGTACGGCTGCAGCTCTGAGAAGTTCACATTGTATATCAGTGTGAATTTCAAATATGAATTACAATATACCTATTTGCATAGCCAAGTGGAATCGTAAAATAAACTGAGTTGAGACTGGGGTAAATAAAATAGAGCAGAATAATAAACGTGTTGAAATGCGTGTTTAAATCCGGGTGTGTGCAGACAATGGTGTAGAAAAGAATTAAAACGTTGCTATTTGTTTGCGCTATAAAGATGGACGGTACAGTTACAAAAATAAAACATTTTAAGATATTAGTCACAGCAGTCGGTACCGGTGTACCAAAACTATTGTTTCGACAATGTGTTCAACATACGAAACGCATTCAAACTGTTAGTTCTATTTCTGTTAGAGTTAACGTTTAGTTTATGGCGCAGTTTTTGCGAGCGAATAAAACATTGATGGCATGATTACCAATTGAGAAAACAGTATTTTAAGGTTTGGTAAAACAACTATTTGTTTTGGATAGCAGAACATCAGTAGGTAATCTTTACTTCAAGCGGAAAACATAACTAACAAAGATTAAGGAGTACTTATCGATATCGACAGACGTAGTGCACAATTTCAAATACAGTAGCTATTATTGAAAATTACTTTGCAGACTTAATAGGTGTGCTAACTAAAAGGATTTATCGTTGAAAGTCAATAATTTGCCAACAAATATTAAAAACAATTTACAAGCTTTCTACATCAAGTAAATTGGTTTTTCATCCCCTGACTGAGGAGTTGTGCGTCTAAACTAGCTTAGCAAAGTCTTTTAAGATCAATCAAATTATTCTAAGTGTTAGAAACAGCTCACGAAGGTTTCTCAGAACTGGCCTCATGTGACAACCATCTGCATCGTTAAGGGCTTCCATCATTATTTCTGTGTACGTGACCAATGTCTCGGAACGGTTCTTTTGATCGCCAATCAATATCATTCAAAGATCAATTTATCTTAAGATTTACGTCTGCATTGTTGGATTCCACGCAATTATTCCGATGATCTATGATAACTTATTTATCTAACATGGATATTCAGTGTTTGGTTAAGTGAAGTCTATATACATTGTATTGATGGAAACATTCTACTGAAAAGAGAACGTAGTTTATGAAACGCAATAAATAGTCTAAGAACGCAATACATCATTTTGTTTTTCGGAGAAAAAATCAGGTTAGGTTTCTGCACGCCACTATATTTATTTGTTGTTCATCTTAAATTAAATAATTTCTTGGTCATTTTCATATGACACCTCAAATACAGATGTAATTTATAAATCGAAGACTACAGCTACATGCTGAGCAGCATTGCTCGCTACCACTACCAACGAAGTCATCATAATTTATTTTAAAATCTCAGTGCTGCATTAAAACATTTGATTAGGCGATGCCAGCTTAATTGGGTTTAATGTTCCTATCTTCTCACATTATCACGTGATAAATTCAGTAATTGTTATTCAACCACTCAAAATTGTAATAAAATTCAACTAAATTAATTCAGTGGCTGTGGTTCGTTAGATGACACCGTATAAGGAGTCGCAGACGAGTTAATGGCGCCAACAATATATTACCTCTATGAGTCAATACACATCCCACTAATATTGATTAGTTTCTTAACACACTTTAAATGGATTATAGGAATTACTTTTTTATTTTTAACGAAGATGATTTCTAGAATGGAGTGGATAAATATAACATTTACCTTGTCTTATAAAGTAAGATCGTTGAGCAATATTGTGTAAAGGTTTGAATTACAATTGATGAAACTACGGTTCTAAGTTAAGATTCCTAACAAAGCAAAGAAGAGTATAGGAGTTTGAATTTGTACTATGTCAAAGAAAAACAGGGTTTTCACATGACGTAGATACAGATACACATTTTCAACAGTCTCAATATGGTTATACCTAAAACATATGCGGGTAACATCATACTTATAGGGCCCGATATGTTTAAATTAATGAAACCAACCCAAATAGAGTATGGTGAACTTATCGGTCTACATGTACAAAATGTAACTTCTATATAAATAAACTAAGTAGTAAGTACATTGGAAGCCAAATAGCGCGACATGTGAACTGATGCATTGACAATATTTTCATCAGCTGCATTCGTACTTGGCACGAATACGAAGAATGCTTATGTTATCCGATTTTAATAGTGAATCATTCAGTTCAATGAACCCGTTGCCGAAAAAGGCGTTCTATTCGTGTTCATTTGTAAATGACTAAGAATCTGTTAGTAACAATGAATGGGAGGTATCGACGAGGGTCGTGCGAGAAACCACAATCATATCAAAGACGAGATAGCCCTGACATCAGTCACCAAATGCAGCAGCCTGTCAACCTTGTATTTCTATATGTATGACTAAGGCAACTATTGCAGTAACTCGCTGTTCCTAACAATTAGCTTGGTACACGAAGAAATTATTAGAATTCTTATCCGTTTAAAAAACTTTAGAAAACTGTGATGGCTGCTGGAGATAGCTAACGTATGTTGCAACGTAATTGACAAGCAGCTTCCTTTATTACCTTTTTGCAATTCAATAGGACATAACAAACCGCTGGGATACTACAACGATTTTGCAATGAGTCTTAATTAGGATAACATTTGCAGCGGTGAATTAATTACTCGGGTATTTGTCAAGCAATACAAATTCATTATGGTTATAATTGCTTGAGCACATCTTACGGATCATGTGCATACAAGTTTCATCAGTAAATGAGAAGAAGTGTTTACATTCACTTATAACAAACAAGACACTGCATAAAAGACTTGACAGTCAAATAATTAATGACTGAACAACTATGGCATTGTGTACACTAAGAAAGTATTCATTCATTATATTCAGATACTTCGGCTGTGAATGAGGCATAAGTTGTATGAATACGACTGATTAGCTTGTAAACAATGACATTTGGCATGTGTGTCACCTATCCGCTAAAGGTATCAAAACATTGTATGAAAGTATTGTGAAACAACCACGTACGATACGTTGATCAAAAGTGTAAAATATGGCATTGAAACGTATTGACAAAATATAATCGTGCAAAACACGCTCCAATAGTAATGAAAGCAAAAGTCTAGATTGACGCCCCAGCAGTAGACGAGCTAAGTTTAAAGAACCAGAAATAAAATTCTTATCTTATTTTTATATCTATCTGGCATCAACAGAGAATTTATACTGCACCATGCATGACCTAATAACGTCGCGTAGGTATTGCCAATTCAAGAAGTGGGATGTTTTCTGTAAATCCATAAAGTTTGGAACGATACTGCTTTAATTAGAATTCTCGGAGTTGTAAGTAATAAAGCAAATTGGTCTAACGTTGTTACGGAGAGAATTGGTGGCTTAATTTTCCAGAACAATGGGAAGTTCTCCAAAAAGTTTACTAGTAATTCTAAGACTTCCTGACTGTTATTCGTGTGATTGTAATTATGCATCACGTTTTAAATACAGCATTGTAATCATCGTTTTCATTCCCTTGACCTGTGCTAGCAGGCATCACAGATAAACCCTAGAATCAAACGCAAGCATATTAATTACGTAATTACTTACATCTGGATGTTCTTTTACTGGCACGTAAACTTTTTCTGTGAGTGTGGTGACCACGCCTTCAGGCTCTGGTAGTACGAGTGGTTCTTTCTTAACTCCATTTATTTGGAATAAACTTGCTCGAACTTTTGCTATTTCTGTAAAGAAAAAAATACTTTTGTTAGTTACGTGGATAACATCTGTTCTAATAAATTTTACTCATGAAACATGTCATATTGACTCGTTAATTTTAAAATACCGTCCCAAACGTTTACTAGTAAATATGAAGTTTTATGTCCCGTGGAAAATTCCTGTTTTTACGAGTACTTATTTTAGTTTTTGGAAAACTTACAATACCTAATTACGTTGTTATGTGTTTGCCGAAACACATTGTTTTAATGGTTATAGCTATCTGGAAACGTTATTATTCTTAGTGGCTTCATCGTGTGTGTAATCAATATTTTTAGTAAGTATTGGATCTGTAATAAGTTTGAAGGTTACGACAATAGTTGATGACTGCTATGACATCATCTGACAGATATATTGATGGATCCGATACTGCACCTCTTATTATATGGTTGGTAATATAACGTACAGAGGCCACCACCCCAAACAGTGACGTCATTATTTCAAGACATATTTTATTAAGGCGTGAATGACTCACAACTTGTCATCATCACTAATTGTTACTAAACTTAACCCTATAAGTACTTAATATTATACTTTAAGACCGTGTTAAATGAAGGGAATTGAAAGGATAATTATATAGGCATAGCAATTACTAACAGATAAATAACAAAATTTGAATAATTTATTTATTAATGCTGTTATTCGCTGTATCAATGCAAAGTGGACCGTAGACCATATGGTTTGTTAGTGCAAAAGTATTATAACTCAAGCTTGCGATTTCCCCACCGTATGTGAAGCATCGTTGTGCAAACATAGGGTCTCGTTTTATCTTCCTTATCCAGATAAAGAGGTGATGCGTCATTCTCATCGGCTTATTTCCGTACGCAATATCCGATGACCATCTGTTTTACAATATCCGAGCTATGAAGCAACTAAGTCACTTATCTGTTAAGGCACGTGCTCAATACTTTACACAGAAGTAACTTTAGTATCTTCAGGCAATCAATCAATTTCGAAGCTATTACTTGTTAACTCAAGTCGTAGCTTAGTATCTTATCAATGTAATATCTATTTGCTAAAAGGAGGAGACTTCAAAACTTTCTTGTTTTCCATATCTTATCTTGCAAAAATGTAAGTGCCTAATGGCAAAAAATGAAATAAATATTCTCGTTTTCATTTTTATCTGTAAAACATGTCCAGTACAGTTATGCGGGTTGTCTTCAATTTGTTAATCTCTCACGCTATCAAATGGCTCATATGCTCAGACGCACGTATCCGCCTGACCATACTGAGTCCACTGAGGGGCTGGCGACAATGCGGAGGAGCTTTCACGCCATATAAGGGCGGCAGAGTGAGTAAACAAGCCATTAACCCGCCACGGGACTTGTGTGATAGCCGATGGATTATATATTTAATTGCCACCTTTTCTTGCATATTGATGGTGGACGCATTTAGGATGATATGTTTATGCCTCATATTAGCGGCAGCTTTTTTATTCCAAACAACTTAATTGGCACCCAGTCGATCGCGATGCCTGCTACTGGAATTTATATTCACGACCACTTACTTATTTTGTAATTTAAAATGTAATTGCCATGTCGATTTAAGTTTCTTCTAAAATCTTCAAGCGAATATTATCATTTGACTAAACTACATTGAATTAGTTGATTAATTTGACAGTCATCATTGACAGGGTTCTCGGTTTGACAAGTTGAATCGTTTGATGGTCAACACAAGGTTGCATCAAGATCAGAATCGTATAAAAACTCCTTTTGTAACGTGTCACAAACGGACGTTGACAGGTGTCGAAACACTTGTAATGGTTGTTGAACAATGCAGCAGTCTTTGTATTGGTAAATGAGAGTTTAAAACAAAAACAATTGCGGGATAATGGAGGCTGCTTTGTACCAGCTTGTTTTAGGGGCTGTCTGTCTGTCACTTCACCTCTATGCGCCTGAGTTTGATTAATGTACTCAGATTTGACGTGGACGAGGTTCGAAATATGTCGTCTGTTTGAGGTCGTTCTTGCGCAAACCACTAAACTTGTGTGTACCTACTTGAAGGCTCGTGTGAACTATGGATGACTTTAGTGATGGACAGCTATTTACGCATTCTTGTTCAGGGTTCTATATTTTCATCTTTGTTTATACCTTACCTTTCTCACTAAAAGATTTAGGTTTTAGCATCATTATAACGTATAATGGAAACGTTTAAAATAACGTACGAGAGTAATTTATGAGACTTGCAGATGTAACAGAAACGTTTAATGACAGCTTGCATGCTCATCGCCTACGAGCATCACATTAACCCATTTCTTGGTTATAATTCTTTCCACTTGCGAGGAAAGCTCACGGTGTATTAATGTTTTCCACAAACGCGGAACGTGTAACATTTAAACATGCAATCAATCTTACAAACCACAAATTTAAATATGAATTGATGTTCCAATCGATTTTAATTAAATTGGTAGCAATAATGTCATTTTTATTACCTGTTTTTGGTGTCACAAAACTAAGTTACATCAAAGTAGAGCTATCCACAAACAGGTTGCAAAGCCGCATAATATACCTAGTTGTATTCGTATTAACAAGGTTTAATTTTACCATTTACTCGGATTACTCTAACCGCAATCGCGATCATTCTATGTACGTAATTCTAGCCTTGCAACTCCCTTTAGGAGCCAGTAAGCAAAATCTATCTTTGAGTACAGGAGTTAAGATTGAAAGTTAGTTGTACGTATATTGATAACTCTATAACATAATGATGTTTGAACGCCAGCGTAGGAAGAGCATTCACTATAATAGGCGCGCAAGCAACTTGTATGTCACTGAGTGACAAATGTCAATTGCCGCTTCGATCTTTGAGACCACCTACGGAAAAGTAAGTACAGTTAGTTTTAGGTTGGATTTGTAACCAAAATTAATGGTAGACTTTCAATTTAAAATTACTATGAAATTAATTCTTCTTAATGAATAGGTATGGTCAAGAAAACAAGTTTCACATGGCTCATAGCTATTACTGAATATAAAGTACATCGTTCGTTAAATAAATATATTTTCATGATCGTGTATTCTTAAATTAAATAACTATTGCGCTCTAAATGGAGTTCACTGACCCGTGGCCATTTTACTAGATCATAATTACAGCCTTCTGTGCAGGATTAAAAACTATATATTACAAATATAATTCAATTTAATTCATAAATTATAAATAGTAGTGTACAATTTTCTCCCTGGAGTATTGCGACACTGACACACACATGTACGCTTACTGGTTCCAGATAATGCAATGCAATCTCTCTTGCATTGTCACCGTCCACAATGGCGGACCGCGGCGCGTTCACTCTGTAATTCCTCTCCCTCATTCTATTCTAATACGCATTTAATAAGCTGTAACTTCAAGCGCAAGAACGGTATTATAACACGGAATTGGACATTGCTACGTGATTAGATTTTACGCTCCACCAAGACCTACCGCCTACAAAGTTTTATAGTTTCTATTAAAAACATTAAACTCAATTTTATTACTCATGGTGCGATCTTTTAAATTATTTATTGAATAAACATGCAGTATTAAAACAGAATTGAACTCGACCCCTGGACAGTTTAATATTATTTTCGAAATATATCAAGATAAATGTGTTTATTGAGAAAGATCAGCTATATGTTAAACTATCAATTTTAGTATATTTCTAAAATAAAGTTCAAGTTGAGCAATTTTACGTTTAAGTTGTTGAGCAACTCTTGCTTTATCTGTAGCATGTTTAAATGAATCTTTTAAGGTTAACGTAATGTTTAAAGGTTAAGTTTAGTAAAACCTTTAAATAACAATGATTGTTTAGCACAAAAAATAGTTTTTTGAAGGACTGAACAAATATAATAATATCATCAGCAAATGAACACATAATGGGGTATAACATAATGACCTTTAAGTGATTCACTTAAAACAAACAAGGCCTAATCTGTGCACGCCATAAAGGCCCGAAGACACGAAATGTTTCAATTAAATATGGAATCAAAATCACACAAGATGAGGAAGTGTAACTAAATCACGAATCAAAGGATTTTCTTGCAACACCACAAGAGTATTTTACGTAAGTGTAAAAAAAATATATTCTGCAGTTTTCTTAACAAAGTCATTAACTGGCAATCTACACGCAGGCTGTTACGCGCTGCAGTTCCAGTGAAATAAATGGTATAATTGGTTCCATGAATAGACTAAGTCACAAAATCACTTTCGTTACTAACATCGGTCGGCGGAAACAATTAATTTCTTTCATCACCAAGAACAGTGGTGGTATTTTGTAATTTAACGACGACGCCATTGCAACGGCCGTCTTAATAACAAACTAAGTAAACGGACGCACGGTCTAGACAGTGAAATTATAAGGTGCATTCATTAAACTTGACTGACACAACTGGAGCATAAATGAAGAATATCCATTTTAATGTGCGAAGGACTATCCATTCTTGCAATGCAAATATTTGAGCACACTCTAAAATCATAGAAATTTCCAGAAACGTTGCACAACTCTAGGATTGGCGGTAACACAAAGTAGAGTAGACAGATAGACTCTAGCTACTAATAGCTTTGTTTTTTCGATAGTGCTGAGATTAATGTTCCCTGAATAAAATGTATGAGGGCAAATTAAGAACAATGTGGATTGAAGGGGAATTTTCACACGATGAGCGACGATGCGTAAACGCAGTACCACGGTCAGTAGCGACCGGCTTCACTTGCGTCGGCCAACCACGAAGACTTGAATCACGCGAATAATTATGTAGATATATTAAAATGTATGGGTAATTACCCGGTACATAAGTGACAATACAAAAATAACTTCTATGGGAATGATTCGAAAGCATTCTTAGTTACGAAACCGACAAACCTTAGATTAACTGTAATATATAGTTGGACGTATAACGAAACGAAACTGAAATATGATTTCACCTCAATACTGACAAGAATAGTAATCCAACATGACACTTGTAGGCTCGTAAATGAAATAAACGTAGTAGATGCCAAAGTA